TAATGACATGAAGCAGCTTAATTTAATCATGATTAAGGAACATTCCAATTTAAAAATGGTCTCACAGCGAGGGTTTTATTTATATTTTATTTTTAAAAACAGTGGAATCCCTTTTATACATATCGTTGCACTTCAACAATATACACACCACAAGTTCATGCATCTACAAGTACGCCCATAATCTAAGAACCCTGTAATGTCTGTGATTCTACAGTCGTCCTAAATCAACATGAATTAATGTCGAACTGAAACAAACGAGTTGCATAGAGTATCACCATGCTGTGACGTTTCAACATCATTAAAACAAACAAGAAAGAATAAATTATAAAATTCGGCCTGAATTGAATATACAAGACTGTGAACCCATCAGTGCAAAAATGATGAGAAATATACATGATTTAAGGAAAAAAATTAAAGCCATCATAATATGTATAAACAAAAGTGTCCCACTGCATTTCATCATCATCTTCTGGACTACACCAGGTCCTGCATTCTGTAATTATAGGACATCTCATTCTTTCTGTACAGATTGAGCCCTTAGGATAAATGTCAATTTACATTATTCCTCCTACATACTGGACATAATTCTCTCAGACACACAATATAAGGAATGAATTTAGCAGCTTAAAAATCAAATACTCACTGTAGTCTGGTTTCCCCACCCTCCAAATATAAATATATACTGTATATATATTTTAGGTTTTGCTGTACTTTACAAAAGGTTCTCACTAGATGGCAGCAGGTGCATTTCAGAGCTAATTTGAACAGCTACATTAAGTAAAAAATTGCTGCATGCATGATTGGACTTTTTACTGTAATACTTAATGCTCTCAAAGGAAAAAAGCAACATTCCCACAGCACATTAAGCCCAGAATAGTTTACATCCTCTATTCTGAAGCATTAGTAAAAGTATTGACTAAATAAGGCATGCTTGAGACAGTCATTGTTGCTCACTTGAAAGAAAAGCATCAGAGAAAAATGAAGTTTGAAAATCAACCATCTGAATTCAGTCTAGCAGGTGATAGTTCTATCAGTCTCTCAAACGTAAAGCTCTGAAAAATAAAGAACAATTTGTGATTAATTAGATTCCTAAATACAGTACGCACCTACAGCTAGAACAAAACCGTAATCCCACACTTTCTCAGGAATAAGCCCAGATGAGTTCTGGCAGGCTTGTTTCTAAATACCAATACAGAGATGGCAGAACATCAAAAATAACTTTTTGTTACAAGTTGTCTATTGTCAGGAGAGCTGAATGAGTGTTTATAATAATCAGAAATACTCGGATTTCTTTGAAGAACGGATCTATGTTCCTTTCGTTTAGATTTTTTACCCACGTATTTTGTAATGGTGTTTACCAAAATCCTAGCATACCAAAAATTATTCAATATAAAATCATATAATAAAGACAAACTATTTTTTTTAATTCATGGTTTTAGAAGGTCAATTAACATTAACTTGCCTGGCAAAATAAAACTATTTTGGCAACATGGCACAAGCTTCCAAAGGAAAACCACCACACCTTGTGAAGAACTGCATCACCAGGTTGGCATAATAACACCCCCCCCCCTTCTGTTTCATGCCTCAACCATTCAGGTATCAGAAAACAGTAGCACCCACCACAGGCTCTCAGAAGTTGAACATCTGAGGTGTGCAAGACATTTGGTGGTGAGAACATTTTGACTTGAAACACTGTGTGCATCTCTCCTGAATATAGTGGTTAGGCTGGATCCTGAACAAATTCCCCAGCACCAAAGAATTTAGAGCTTTTTTTAGCTTGGTGAATTGGAAATGCATATGGAACTGAACTGATGTAACAAGATCAGAAAAATACCTGGGGGCGGTATTATTTTTTTTTAAAGGGGCATACCACATAGAGTGGATCATTATAACCCTGTACAGATGTGGCCCAGCTGTGTGTGACATGGGCCCAATTTTTACTGTCCTACCAGCCAAAACTGTGCAAAGAAACCCCCCCCATCAATATTCAGGAGTAGGGCTGGGCCCATTCAGTGTTAATGCTGCCTAACTTGCAAATAATTTCTGATATACAGCTGACCCCATCTTATACAGTTATGCACACCTTTTTAGTTATTAGCCATTATGCATTTTCAAAAATCCGGAGTGGATAAGTAAATAAATATGATAATACAGTTTTATGTAACATTCTATACAAACTTACATAAGCACGGCTTTTAATTTGTATTTCTCTGACGTAGATTTTTATCTTTATGGTTGTTTGTGGAATTAGTTTTCCTACAAAAGACAAAACGACATCCAAATTACATTGGGGAAAGAGCAAAGTTGTGAACAAAAATTGTTTTTACACATAATGAGGAAAGGAAAGGAAAGGAAAGGAAAGGAAAGGAAAGGAAAGGAAAGGAAAGGAAAGGAAAGGAAAGGAAAGGAAAGGAAAGGAAAAGGAAAGGTTTAGATGAATGTTTGTCAACCTCAGCAACTTTAAGAGGTGTGGACTTGGCTGGCTGGAGAATCCTGGGAATTGAAGTCCATACCTCTTAAAGTTGCTGAGGGTGACAAACACTCATCTAGATCACTGTAAAACCATGTGGACAGAACAGAGATCACTTTCCAGAACAATCATTTTAGTGGCTGCTGAATGCGTTATTTATATCCATTTGTGCAGAATGCGCTGGTTTCTGTTCCAAATATTTGTGTTATACTGTTATTTTGAAAAGGACCACTGGCTCTGGGGAAGGATTCGTTATATGTAGTTTTTCCTTCCCCAAATAACTCTGTTCAAGATGGCAATTCCACTAACATGAAAACTTCCAAGATCTATTGCTCCTCCTTTTTCTTTCCTTTTGTGATAGTTAATTACATGCAGAAACATCCTGACTGATCTACAGTGAGATTTACAAGGCCAGATTAAGCTACAAATTCAATGTGACAGAGTTTTGGTTCCCACATCCCCTTTTTTGTGCATACTTAAGTTTTGGGGGTGTTTTGGGGGGGGGCGATGAGTGGGGAAAAGTATAAACTTCTAAAATGATCAACCTCCAAATAATGGAAGATTTGGACACGAAAAGCAACCGGCCTGCAAAAATGCATCTTGCAACTTCAAAACAATCAAGCCCCTGCTCCCATTAAAAAAACAAGAAGCAAAACCTGCAGCCACATTAAAAATCATCATTTGAAATAAAATATCTTTACCTACAGTGGTGGACCATGGGGTACTACTGGTGGTACAGAAAACTGTTTCACAGGAGAGGTAATTGAAAACCTTCTTAGTTACTCAAATTTAAACGTCAGTAAAATCATCAAACAAGCGTCATCCACTAATTTAAAACGATTGGAAAATAGATTTAGGGTACAACTAACCTAGAACTAGTGAAACTGCTTTAAATCTAGCACATTATACCTTCTGCACCCTATTGTTTTCAGTAACCTGGGACCCACTGAAGCAGTTGCATGGAGATGCAATAATTGTGGCATGAAGGATGGCAATGAAATGGAGTAAGAGATTCCAGGCAGGACAGCCATTCTCTGTGTCAACAGGAGCGAAAGCAGGCCTTGGAGGATTCCAAGGCATTGCAGCGCCTTTCTACAGAACATGAACGTGTTTACCATATGCTAACCCCCCAAAGAACAATTCTTTATTGCCTTGGAATATTGTGTTCTACATTCATATATACTTGCCTGAAAGATGGAACATTTAAAGCACAAATGGTCTGAGATAGGAAGAACAGGCCCATGAAATACTTACATTGGCCCAGCTGGTTCATCATCTGCAGGAAGATTTTGTTGTGACCCAGTGAAGGAAAGAGAGAAGGAAAGAAGATCTTAGTTAGGTTCTATGGTAAACTTTTGCTGGATAGTATGCAATATTGTCTACAAATAGCTTTATCTAAAGGCCATTCCATTTGAAATTGCAAAGATTTCATGAAGGTTTTTTTTTTTTCTGGATTTGAGTTTAGATGACAAAGTATGTTGTTCAGAATTATTTCAGTTAACACTTTGAATGCTTATCATGAAAAACTGCAACTGTAGTGGACAGATTCTTGCAAATGTGGATATACTCATCTTGTCCCCAAGTTCCAGTGGTTCAATCTTACAAGAGAGATGAGAAGACAAACCAACATTTCAGTTGTAAAATCCTGCTGTTTGTTTCTAAAATCAATGCTTCCCCACCCCCCTGCCCCACTTAGCTCTCCTCAGAACACTTGGTACATGATTTCATGTATATACTATCTCTTCTCCAGAGCCGTCCTTCAGACACTTTGCTTGAATTTCTAAATAAAATGTTTCAGGAGGTAGAAGATGCAATTTTGACTGATACAGAACAGCCCCTCCAAAAGCAGCAAGCTTTTGTTGTGATTACGTACGCAAGTAATATTACCCAGCTATTACACGCCACAGAAATTTCAGCTTGTTACCTGGGAGGGCCAGAAATTTGTCCCTTTTTAAATTTTAGAAGATTAAAAAAAAATCAACTTGTCCCTTTTCACGTAGTCTTCTTTATGATCAACTGGACATTTCATTTGTGCTTTATATTACATGGAATAAAAAGGCAGGCACATTTTAAACAATAAAAAAAACCCCAATCCATAACGTGTGCTGTAGGACACCTACAGTTGGCAACCTTTTCTGCACTACATTGCAATTTTATTTATTAATATATCGTTGGCAAGCTCAAAAAGTTCTCTTGTAATTTGTTGTTTTGGTACAAACTCAGCAGGATTCCACAAGGGGACTCAGGGCACACAAAGCATTTATGGAAACTACAGTCTTAACAGTGTAGGCAACTGCATGAGCACACACTAGGAGTAATGTTGATCCAAGCTGAACATTACTCCACCTGTACCTTTGAGGCAACGGAGAGGCAAAGCCACCGCCAGCACAGTTACCAGAACAAAAAGGAAGGAAACGTTCAAAATAAAAAGAGCTAACCACAAACCAACAGCTGGACAGCCAAAATAACACACCAGTGTCCACAAAAGTCTGCTACTAACAGCAAACTATCAGAACAAGGTACAGAGAACTAGGACTAATAAGGACAACCAGACATCAATGTGCTGTATATACAGTGGAGATATAGAGAGACACATCGGGTTTTGAAACATGAAGCACATTACAATAAAACTCAGCTTCCCCTCCAACAAACACCTTTCAATTCCCCAAAAATCTCAAAGGCAGCCTAAGCTAGAGACTCTCTATTATATAAGCGTTGCTGGTGCTGACATTGAGGAGTATTCTTAGTTTTCATTTTCTAGAAATTAGCAGGGTTAGTAGTGCCGTGTTCCAAACAATCATTCTGCTCAAAGCCTCGTTTCAAATCACAGCAGCCTGTAACAAGGATTTTCTGGGAGCATTTGGGCTAACGCCTTCTGAACCAAGCTCCAACTTATGCCACCTGAGACATACCGGTCCTCAAACACGGAGGTGGAACAAGAATGAGCTTACAAATGAAATTGGAACAAAACTGGGATTTGACTTTACATGAGGAAGCAAGATGGATGCTCTAACATGAAGGCATTAGGTGGCACAGCTTGGGGCTGTACAGTTTACATGCAACTCTATCGTGGACTCGCAAGATGGCCATTTCTCCTTTCTATGTCCAGTCAAGTCAAGCGTGGCTGTTATAGAAAGCCTTTGTCGGTCAATAGCTCGTGGGTCCGCCACTCAACCTTTACAAAACCCATCCCACCATATATGGTATGTGACAGACAAAAGGATCAAACCCCTAGAGAAGTTGACCAGTAAAGGGGAGAAACAGAACTATAGGAAAAAGAATGGTACAAATTAGAAAATGAAGGTTCAACAGCAAACTGAAGCCCAAATTAGTTGTGAATGGGAATGAAGAAAACTAAGGAAAAGTGTTAACATTATGAACTGTGCATTGTATAGACTGAAGCGGAGAATAAACGAACTCCAAAGCATGCAAGCTCTCACTTACCACCATTTTTAAAGGAATGATGCAATTGAAAGGGGAAAAAAAGAAGTCATAGTAACTGACAAATAACAATATAACTCAGCACGTTCTAGTAATGCTCTAATTTGCTAGCATTTGAACCAGAGGTCAATTAAGATAGGTCCCTACATTCCACCTGGAAGTAACAGGCTACAATTTTCAGACTACAGTTCCAAGACTCTCACTCAGCAGTGTTGCTCTACCATAATGGCATTCCACTGACTTCATCAAGTTAAGACTCCCAACTTCTTGTTTTACACATTTGCACTATGACACAAAAAATTAGTCAACCACAAAAACAAAGGACCTCTGAAGAGCACATGCATGTAAAAAGCATTGTTTCTTTGAAGCCCTCCAAGCTGCCACCTCAGATTTTTTTTTTAAATCACAAGCTGAATTTTACAAACACATCCCCTTCCAAAATTGACAAGCATAAATCCTATAAACCCTATATAAAAATGGTACATTCAATTTTTAAATTGATGTTTGGGAATTTTGTTTAGGTGCAAAAGGAAGTGGAAGAGAATAAGAAAGGGCTAATCAATAGTCTATTTTGGACCCTGGCTTCTCTGCCAGAGGAACAGAATGGAATATACAGTGGGAATCTGTACTTGGGAGTCAACAGAGAAGTATTTTTATCCTCTGTTCTTCTCTAGCACAGAGGAGGTGTGTACACATATAGATATTCTAAGAGACCTAGATCCGGAAATCTCTCTACCTCTTTCTCTTCGGTCTAGATCTAGGTCTCTTATTTCTGACCAGTCACAACCTGACATAAGGAAAGAACAAGATAAAAATTAGAAACAGGGGAAAAGTGAACAAAGGAACATCTTTCTTCCATTGGTATATGTAGCCCTTGGCTACATCTTCCCAATGAAAGAGCTAAGAGGCGAAAGAGAAGGAAATAAATGACAGAATGCATTCTAGTCCATTTTTCTAACCTGGAATACCACAAGGAAAAGAGGCCACATTGTATGGATTTGTTAAGGAGCAACAAGTGGATCTTCTTGCAGAAGTCCAAAAATAAATGCCAACCAGGATCCTAAATAATACAGGTAGTCCTCGTTTAGAGACTGCCTTGTTTAGCGACTGTTCAAAGTTACAACAGTGATGAAAAAGTAACTTTACGACCAATCTTCACATTTACGACCTTCACAGGTCTGTAAAGCAAAGGAAAGCTGAAGTCAGACTGTAAGCATAGCTGCGGTTTCACTTAGTGACCACTTCACTTAATGACCAAGTTGCCAGTCCCAACTGTGGTCACTAAATGAGGACTACCTGTAAAAACAAATCTACAGATTATTCTATCAAGTTAAATTGGATACTACTGCTTTAGAGGGAGGGACATTATGTTGAACAAAAGGTAAAATAGATGCTTAAGGGAAAGAACTATCTTAGAAGCCAAGGCAATCTGAATCTATTACGAGTATTTTGATTAACATTTCAATAGCCCAAAATATACTGAACAATAAACATACTTTTTACTTTGGGGGACATTTCCCATAAACAGCCCAAGTATATGTTACAATGCACATACCTGCAACATATTAAACCCTTTACAGAACTGTTTTCCAAATAAAAAAATATAGCATACTAGCTATGTGCATATATGGGCAAATCTTCTGGAACAAAGAGTTTTGTTATCAAATATATGCAAAGTACAAAGCTATGGAAAATCTAATAAGCACATTTTCATATTTCAGGAGCCTTGAATACCTGAACATTTATTTTTACAAGGAAAAATTCACTTTAATGCAAATGCAAGACCTGAAATATGTAAGTGGTCTGAATTCTTTTATAAAGGGCAAAACACTATTCCAGATAAACATCAAATAGAAGAAAAATGACTTTCAAGAACCACACCTCATAGCAACTACAACACTGGAATTAAGCTTGTGAGTTTTCAAGATGCACTAATGATCAGCTCCTTTCTCTTGTGAATCAGACATCAGAACTGAAAACAGAAGTTTTGAGATGACATTTGATAAACAGTTATGGTAGTGGTTATGCTCAGCATATTGTATCAATAGAATGAAATGCATGGAATACATAAATAGTATTTTTATGAAGATAGCCAAGTATCAATTAGTACAACCCATCTGAAAAAAAATCAAGGGGCAAGACCTGATGGAAATTCTCTAGATTATATTGTGATGTTCAGGTTTTATGCTGTATTCCACTTTGTATGTAGTTCTGAAATACAATTATAAAGAGCACAATCTGTTAATGTATTATATTTGCTGCTCCCACATATACTAACAAGGGGTCAACCAAGTTATGGGGTTATATAAGCACAGCATATTTAGTAACTGTACTTATGTAGCCAAGGCCAAGACAAGAAACGAGAGAACCAATGAGAAAGTCTATTCAGGGAGGTGATCCAACAGCCTGAGCCCAATAAAAGGACTGGGCTTTTAGGTGAAAGGCAATGGGTCTAATGCTGTAGCCATTCCAACAAGTCATCAGTTGGGCTGGCCACTCAGTTGAGTCTTCTACCTTGGCAATTTGGATTTCGAATTTCTTAGGGTAAGGTAAGGATTGCACAAAATGTAAGAACTTGTGTTTTTGTTGCCCATGATTGCCTTATCAACAATTGTTTCTATAGAGTCACTGTGTGAGATGGGTGGCTATATAAATGTGATTAAATAAATTGAACTATATGCTTATTATGCTGAGTAAAGACTGAATGGCATTTAGATTTCTCTGGTCCAACATCATCTTTGGTTACCACTCTGCCATAAAAGGGGAACCTAGCCAGGAACTTCCTCATGCTTGAATGTTGTTGCTGGTAAGAGAGTAAAAGGAAAGTGTTAACAAAACAGGGAAATTTGCAGCCTTAGCAACAGACTTCAATAAACCAGAAAAGATCTTTTGAGAACTGTCCAATTCTTCAAGTCTGAGAGTATCTCATAGATGCACATGGGAGTAAGGATTGGAACCTTGAGATTACACAAGGGAGTAAGGGCTAGCACCTTGACAGCATCCTGCTGGTACAGGATTCTGCTGAAAGATAACAACTAAATTGAGCAAGAATGCAGACTGAGAACCTTTGAAAAGGATGTTTTTTAAGCACAAGGTCTCTGTGTTGGGGTGTCATCCAAGCATGTGGGTTCATCATTTTCTGGAGTCAGTCAGTTTGCTGAGTTGTCCATTTAGTAGCAAATTCCTTATCACATAACACACCATGAAAAAATAAACCTTTGAGTTAGGAGGCCTCCTCCATAGAAGACTGCCTGAGTGAGCACGCACTGGGGATATTCCTGGCACTTAACAGTAGCAACATCTGGTCATAATCAATCCAACTGAATTGGAAACAGCATCTATGAAAATTAACACTTGGGATAAAGGACAAAGCTGCTCATTAAGCTTGGCTTTCTGTGCTGTCGGCATACAAGAATATCTCAGCTGCAGGCAGCAATTCCTTTTCTTTCAGAGAAGCAAAACCCAAAGCGTAACCTACTTTTTGCTAAGGAGATTAGGTGAGTGCCGAAGTGACAAGTAGAAAGGAAAGAAAAGAGGGCTATTTAAATTGCTTTCTTCACATTATTATTTATAACTAGGATCAAGCCAAGAAAATCAGTATTAGAACAAAATGCAATAAAAATGGAACAGTTGCCCTGCCAAGAAAGAAAATCATACGTTCTTTATTTTATTCCAAATTGCAAAATAATACAAACAGGAAAACATGTTACCACAGCTTAAGCTAAAATTAACACAGAGAGAAGCTGGAAGAAAAGCAGCTGAAGTTTTTACTTTCTTCTTACTCCAAAACACACACCTTTTAGAACAGCACGTGTTTATTGATTTATCACTAATCCAACAGAAAGCTTTTTTTTCACTGGAGCAATCATACATTATTACATGGCTTGATATAATTAAATAATAATTATTTTGAATGTAGAAAGGGGCAGGACCAGAGGAGGGGAAGGTAATCACTTGACTATAATATGAAAATCTTTGAATAACAAAAGCTACAGCCAAATGAATTATTGAAAACTGTCACTAAGACCTGTTCTGCCTCTCACAAGCAATTATTGCAGAAATTTATCCCGGCTTCTCTAACTTCAACACGACATAGCAAAAATTCAGGTGCTTCATTCACTAAGAACAGAGTCCCAGAGTCCCAGAACTAAGGCATTACATACATCAAGGTTCATGGGGTATTTTTCTCTTTGAATAAATGGCTGTTGATTTGCATATACAGTAGTAAAGAAGGCAATTCCTCATCCCTACTCCAAGGAACACACAAATCTAGGACATCGGAAAGCCTAGGTAAAAAGTGATCAGTTGCTTTCATGTTGGGAACATCAACTGCACTGAGAATACCCAGGTAATAGGGTGTCCTAGGTACATCTAGACCAAACCAGTACTTCAGCCTGTCTTGTCACTGTAAGTACAAAAGGAACCTACTGATGCCAGCCTGATTCACAAAACCATTGAACTGAGACCAATTGAAGAACACTCTCCATGCATGGCATGCAACTATCTCACAAAGAGAAATAAGGCATAAATATGTCAACAAAGAAGTGAAACGCTCCTTTTGAATAAAACAAGTTCAGATTTTTATGCTGATTTGCTGATTCTATGTTGTAGCAGAAGGTGAGGTGCCCCGTGAGAGCTGCAGTGAGCTTGAAATAGAGTTATAGGCAAGTTCTTTTTTTAAAAAAAATGTGACACACTAGCTTATCCTGGCCATTTATATAGGGCAGTTAGGATTTTTTCAGCATGTTAGCTGGGAATTTCGGAGGTTGCAGTCCCAACACAACAGAAGCTCAGAATAGACACGGCTATGATAGACTGATTAAACAAAGAGACCAACATCACACCCTTGGAATCACTAATATATCGTGTATGCATACATGGTATACTATCTGTGTAAATGCATTTTCGAACAGGTGTCTTCAAGCCTTCCTATTCTTGGCCCAGAGTATGTTTTGATGCTCAAAATGGGATCCTACAGGCAATAAGGATGGCAGGCCTGGACCTGATGAAGATATTAATTGCTCACCTTAACAAAGTAAAACACTGAATTAGCTGCTATGCACAACTGTTATTCATGAATGATTCTTGTTAAGCATATGCCTACATCTTAGATATCCCATATATGCAGGATAGGGTACACAAGCTGAGGTACCCAATTCAGAGATCCTCCACTGCAGCTAACAGAAAGGAGAAAATTATAAAAATACATCAGGAGTGGTCCTATTAACAGTGTTTCACTGAATTAATTACATATAAATGTAAAACAATTCAAATTGGTGCATATTTGTCTTAGCCGTCCCCGATTCTTTGTTTTATGCCCATCTGCTTATTGAAATTTGGTTTCCACATGTGAAACTCAAGGATGGACTGTGGCCCTGAGAGAAGCACACCACTGATGTAGCAGTAAGGGTAATGGTTTAAGCTCTCCTTCAGCATTTTCTGGCTTTAAACACTGCTGGAACTACTGACCCAGTGACTTCTTCAGTGTGTTAGTATGTTCTGGGTGGTTCCCCTCTTCAACAGTTAGTGCAAAAACTGAAACAGCCAAAAGAAAATAGCCATTCATTCTTGCCAGATAGGTAGGCTTGAAGTTAGTACTGAAATTTCTTCAGAAATGCAATAAGGAAGTTCCACAAGTTCTGATGCTTAGAAGGAAGCATCGATTGCAAAGGCTAGGAAATACATCCTTAAGAATGTCCCCACTATCCACCATCAGATCCCATCACAGTCAGGAAGCAAACTCTCAAGCAACTGAGAACACAAAGGGATTATCAAGAATGTTTACCCATTCATTCCGGGCACGTGTATCTTTCTAGAGATGTATTCAAATGAGACCAGTCCGGCATCAGGAAATGCTTATCCACCCGCCAAACAAAAACCAGTCCCTTCTAAAGAAGGTCACGCACATCTGCCTTCATGCCAAATTGAAAGCTGCAGTCAACCAACGGTCTGTGAATCTGTTTGCACCTTATTAGAAGTGAAGAGCTTAGCAGCCACCAAACCCTTCCTATCCAGAAGCTGTCTGCCCGGGAAGCTGCAGCAGAAATAAACAATCCTTTCTACTTCCTTTGGTTGAATAGAAAGAACTTGCATCTGTCCACATTAGTACACTAGCAATCTTCCTTGAGCTGCAATGTGGCTGTCATGGTTAGCTCTACTTAAACACACCCACTAATGCTACTGCTAGATGAACCCTATAAGAAGCAGAACAATAAAATAAAAAGGACTTTTTAAAAAACGGACTGGGAACTGTTTAAAAGATTCACTTGTATATTTCCAGATGCAGATTATGTTCCAGTTGACCAAGTTAAAATTAATGGCCCAAGTCAGAATAGACACACGTACGTTTGGAAACTGGAAGAAGAAAAACTTCTGTCATTGGATTTTATGTGAAAAATAATAATAAGGTTGGCTCATTTTCATACAAACTTACCAAAGCAGCTTTCCCTTTGAGCATCAAACCTGTTCATTCCAAAAAGTTGAACATTTTGCCATAGCAGCTGTGCAAAAACAGGACTGTAGGATGGAATCCATTATGAAACCTTAACTCTGAGCACTTGTTATTGGCCAGGACCATGCTTTTAAAAATTTCACCTTATCTTAAATGGCTAGTCCAGAATCATCACACTGGCAGTGTTTGTTCCTACCCAGAGTCAGTTGCAATTTAATGTATTATATTGTCTACATGACACAGCCATTATCTCATGAACAGAGTATCTTATTCAAGACTCTTCCATCCATGTTAGACAGGGGATGGCCGACCACTTACTTTGTTTCTAAAATAACTTCCCCATTTAAAAGAAAAATGCCATTTATTTTATGTTGCATGTTCATGCTTTTGTGTTGCTTTATAAGTTTCTGATAAATTACTATTCCTTCCCCCGGGGAAGAAAATAAGATTAAAGCTTCACTCCCTCCAAGGCACCTTAAGCAGAGTAGGGATACGGGATGACTACGACGCCAATGGGTCACGGCCCTACCTTCCCATTGGGAAGCCCCTGAAGGATTCTATGAGGTTCGGTGCACAATTTCAAAAGGCTGCCCATCTACACCATTTAAAGGAGAATGCAGGTATGAGCAAAAGCTTTCCCTTACGACGTGTTTTAGTTGCTTAAAGCATTAGATCTTATATCATTCATACAAAAGGTGGGTTGCAAGTATTTGTGGTCAAGAGATCTTAAAAAGTTTGTCAATTATGTTGGAAAAACTCTTCTTTTCCCCCTCCAGCAAGACAGCACGGTATGTATCTGACCGAAGCTGCATTTATGCAGAGTGAATTTAGTAACAACCAACGTTGCCTTTAAAATAATGTCTCACAGGTCCCTTTTTCTTATTGCCAGCCCTTTGCTAGGAAAAAGGAGTATTTCTAAAGATAAAGAGATGTCGGTATCACCTCTGTCAAGGCCTCTCATATGCAAGGACCCAGAGGCAAGAATTTTCAGACAGTCCTCAGCAGCACAAGATTTGGAACTATGGATCGATGGCCCCAATGTTTTAAAAGGGAGGATTCTGAAGTAAAAGAAGAGGGCCGGGTTCCCAGAAAACACAGTAGGACGGAAGAAACTTACCATCTGGAACCTCATCGGGCCGCTTCCTTTTCTCATAAACAACAATGATAACAACGAGAATGATGATCTCTGCCAGGATTCCCAGGAAGGGCCACAGAGGAGCCAAGTGGCTACGCACACGCAGGATGGTAATTTCAGCTGCTGTGCCCACTGAGTTGGTGGCGTTGCATTCATAGTCACCGGGATCTTCATTGATTTCGAGTTTCACAATGCTGAGTTCAGTGTAATTCTCTTTGTTGGTAATGAAGAAGCGACCGGAAGTGTTGTCAATCCCCTGATGAGAAGGGCAGGCCACAGCAAGATTACCAAGCATTCCAGAGAAGGGTTATTCTGTTACATGCCCACACCCCGCCTTTTCAGTGAGCTCAATATTCTCCACTCTGAAAGCTTGATCGTGCGGGCATGAGAGAAGCATGACACGCTTGTCAGCATAATCATTCTACTTATTGATATTCTCCTGCCTTTTAAAGCCTACTTAGGTTCCTTCATGGTGGAAGGTGGCATTTCTGTTTCAAATAGCCGTGGAGGGACAATTTTGAGGGGAAGCAGGGTGAGATTAGTCAGAAGAGGATGCAGAAAGCTTGAGAAAAGCCACATGCAATGTGATGTTTAATTCTAGTTTTGCATTAGAAAGCAGGGCACGTGCAAGAGATTTCCTGCCTAGTATTTAGCACTTGGTTCCAGGATCATGTCTAGTTTTGCTCTTAAGAAGTCCCCAATTTTGATCCTAATATCTCAAGTTTAACAAGCAAACAAAAAAAGCCCCCATAAGCAGCTGGCAGAGCAAGAGAGAATTATGTTCCTTTGAGAAGGCAAAAATACTGGATTAGTTTCAATTATCGGCCTTGCATTACAAACTTCAGCCAACAGTGGAGCTTACGTAGCAGGGTTCAATCTTCTACTCACCATAGACATTCCATTGATTTTTTTAAACCAAATCCAGTCTGGGTGTGGGTAGCCTACAGACTTGCAATACATCACTGCGTCCTGCCCTTCGTTCTTGTTCTCACTTCGCTTGTGCCCAATAATATCAGGAGCAGCTAACAGGCACAAAAAGGAAAAGGAAAGGGGGGGGGGGAGAGCCATCTGTAATTCAATCCATTTTATCTGTAGAACTGTCACAAGCCTATATAATGACATTCAAAATCCTCACCTATTGTTCAAAACTCAAGAAGGCAGAGCGATAGGCTTTTCTGTGGCTTAACATATTCAGTTCTGCCACTGGTTATTTATTTAGAGCTTTCTTCCATTTTATATCTAACTATTATATAATCTCACTTCCAAACATTTTGGAAACTTTTTTTTAAATCTCTTGCATCTTATTGAGTGACTCAATGGTGTTCAGAAAAGACTGGGCAAAAGATGGAAAAAAGCCCCCAGATGTGGAATTTCACTGTACTGAACAGGACTCTTTTCCAGTTGTGATGATAGGCCACAGGAGCAAGCAAATTAGGTAGCAACAGCAGAGGGCAGAACACCAGACTACTGCCAGAAAAATGCTCTCATTCTTAAAAGAGAGGTACCTCTACATCTTCTCCTGAACAATTTAGGCTAGGTTGGAAGATACATCATTTATTCCTACAGGAAAACACAGAGTCTTAGGGATAGTTGCAGCTTAGATATTTTTTTTTTAGCAGCTTCAAAGGATCTGTTAGAACATGGCCAAGTAGCAAAATAAAAACCTATAGAAAGAAACAATAGCACTGATGCATCTATAATTATTTTACATTTTTTTAACATGTACTATGTTCGGTGTGGGCATTTTGGAGATGAACAATTCCTTAGAGGTTCCAGTTTAGGAGGAAGGTTGAGCATTCAAAATCTGTGAAGACTGTGACATGCAAACGCTAAACAAAATGCTCCATGGGGAATTACAGAAGGAAAATTTAGAAGCTAAGCTTTAAAAAGAGGAAGAAAGGAAATAAAGGAAAAGTTACGGGTACCTTTCACTTCTATTGTAGCATTTGCTATCTGGGAGCCAGAGAACACAAATACACACCAATACTCCCCCGAGTCATCTGCTCTGGGCTTTGGGATTCTGCAAAGAAAAAGCAGCATGGATCAGAATAGCAGGTGACAAGCCAGACATGCTTACGAACACATAATTGCTCAGCTGCTTCTAGGTCACTGGTTAACAGAAGAAAAAGTAATCTAAAACGTTCAAGACCTTGCATCAGCTTCTTTGCTGGAAAATTGCACACATGAAAATGCAGTGTTAACCATCTATACAAGAAACCCTGAAAAGACAGCTCTTCCTAATATTCTGCAGAGCCAACGGTGATTCTAAGTAGGATCTTCCATTTTAAAACAAAACACTAAGTCCCGAACTATCACCACTTTCTCCAACACAATTTGTCTAAAATATGGTAAGCTGAAGATTGAGTAAACTTGTTAATGCTGCTTAAACAAAAGTGCAAATGTCTTAACCCTTATCCTGAACCACAGCTTCTTTAATAACAACAGCATTGTTTCTTTCATGCACAGATTTATTTGCTTCGTTCTTAAAATGTAACAATCTACACCACTATCTAAAGACACTTAGCATAGTTGTTAGGACTGGTTTTCTTGTTAGTGATACACATAAGACCCCCCCTTTTTTTTGCCACACCAGAAAATTCAAGATGCTGTGAACAAGAGTAATATAGCTGTATGTAACAAAGAAGGAAATTCTTCCGAAGAACCAACCATCAGATCTTCTGAAAGCTGGCCCCACCCCCCAAAATGCAGCACATCTCTTTACGTTGGGACATGCTAACAAACTTTTTAATAGCCTGCAATAAACACTTGCAACATGAATACAAGTAGCACTAGATGGGCTTAGTTTCTCATGGCAAACATACAGAACTGTCTAAAATGAAGCCAAGAAAGAAATAGGCCATATTGATACCAACCCTGGAAAATATAAAGAAATTCAGGCAAGCTGCATATAAGTTTTTAAAAATCTGTGTTAAGATGAATCAAATCATCATATATATCTTAAAGTGAGTATATCCATAATTTATTCTGCTTGCTAATGGAAGAAGAAAGAAACCATGCGTAGCACCAAACCCACCCGTTGGCCAACAGAAATCATAAAGTTTTGAACATTATTTCTTAATGACATTCTATAAAAACTTGAGGATTGGATATACGCAGCATCTCAATTTCTTTAACTAAATTTGCCAGTTTCAACAGTAAGGGCTGTTCAGCTACTTCAGGGGCAGCTTCACTGAATGTCCAGAGATGAAAGATACTTCTCAGACTTACTTGAATTCTGTTGAATTGGTACTCTTCACGGCACCCGGGACCTCTTCTCCGTTTTTTACCCAATAACTGCGAACGAGGGGGCTGGGGCTCGTTGTGAGGTTGCACTGCAGTATGATAGGAACTGAAGGGGAAACGATGGTCACCTCATTACTGGAATTGATCCTGGGCTCTAGAGGAAGGAGACACATTAAAAGAACTGTCAGTTTTCACGTGACTCAAATGTCCTACCTTGCACAATTAAATGGCAGAGGAATTGGGAGAGGAAAAGAACTACACACGGAAGACAACTTTACTGGCTCAGATGGCATTAAGTCATACAACAAACAGCTGACCAGGAGAGGGGGGGGAAAACAACAACAAGGACTAATCTACTGACACAAAAGGGCAAAAGAAAAAAAAAGAGAATGAAGTACATTTTGGTATTCTTTTTAGCCTCACTACAGGGAAGTTGAAAATAAGTAGCACAAGAACATATAACAAGCATACAATCTAATCCATTAAAAAAAAAAAATCTTTGGGTGCTTTCACACATTGTTCTAGATCGAAGGATCTTGCTGCAAGAGAAACAAAATCTAATATAACACAATATGCACGAATTTTTCCAAACGCGTTAGCAGGGCCAGTCTTCTAAGAAGCTAGCGAAGAAAATCATGCCATTACACCCTTCAGCTTTTCAATAATGGAAGACCATTTCAAGTGACCAATTCTATAATGCAGATATGGAGAGATTACCTTTAAGGATATAGCAAGCTATGATAAAACATATAGAAAACAAAGTTTATTTAGCCAGTATCCCAAAGTAGAGCTGTTACAATTTTGGAACCAGCAGCACCTGTACAATTTTGTAGCAAATCTACTGTTCCAGTTTTCTATGGTGCAGAGGATACTTATGTGGGATCATTAGTAAGGAGTCCCCCTTTTTTCCAAAAGGATTCAGAGTTTGCCTTGCTCCTATTAACTTCCTAGAGTCCAACTTCCTACAGTCCTGTTGTGTTACTTTGGATCCCTTTTCCACCCACCCCTTAAAAAAAAAAAAAAAAAGCTGAAACCTTCACCCAATTAATGTGTGGATTTTCCTGTGATCTATATTCAGATTATGTAAAGTATCTGAAAGACGTGCTTTGTGGTGCACAGGAACGCAAACCAAATCTATATGCTCAACTCCTTAAAGCAGCAGGGTCTTTTACAAGGCTTGTGCAGAGGCTCCTGGCTCTCTGATGGGATTATACACACAGCCACTTTGCATTACTGGGTAGAAAGCAGAACACACAGTGGTCACTTTCCCAGTGCATTGCTATCCCAATCTAAGCTTCCTTTTCCTTCAACTGAGGAATGCACACTGTATCTAGACCCAGCACCATGAATCCCTCTGAAGCAAGAACATTCCACTGTGCAGGTAAAAATGGAGGAACCTTATGCAAATCAGGCTATGCAGTGTTTTTTATCTCTCCCTTATATTTATGTTGTATTTTATACTTGCACCATCCCAGATAATTCTTTTTTTAAGTAACTCTAAACATCAGGTACTAATAAACAACAAAGACTACTTATTTTGGAGGCTCCTACAAAACTCATTAATGTGTAATTTCTGGAATTCCATAACAAAATGTATTATCGTTGTGTTTTCCTTGATCCCCCTTACATTACTTTCCTTTTAAAGTTTGTTTTCCTTTTAAATCTTTACAATTTTTAAAAGATACCTAGTAACTCTAAATAGAAAGTAGAATTTAAAAAAACTTTGGAATCTATCCTGTCCAACGCTATAATCTTTGTTCTGCAATTATATGTGTTTAGGCATAGACTGCAGGATTAAACCAATTTTGCTAGAGCAAAAATATCTGAACATCCTTTTTTAAAAAGACCGACTGCTAAACATTTATTCCATTCCAATGTCTCAGTTGATGTAGCACAAAGCCATACCATCCTATGTAAAGATAATTATGTAACAGAATACTGTAAGAATTTCAAGGCTTGCCATGATTTACTTCAGGCACAGAATGTTTTATAAACACATTCAGTTTTATGGATGATCCTGAAATATACATATTATCTTCAGAAAGAGAAAACAGTGGCAGGATAAACATGCTGGTTACTGTAATAGAGAACAGGAGAGATTCAGACACGTCTTGTTAGTAGCATATGATTGTACTGTACTAGCTATCTATGTGACCAAATCCATGAAAATCTTTACCTACCAATACTCTGGAATGAGAAGTATACCAGTATCCTCCACAAATATAAGTTATATTCAGATTTAACATGGCTTTATTCTAGACTGAGAAATCAGCATAATTAATTAAATCACAGAATGTTCACCTGCAGCACTTCATTTAGTCCACAAAAAAGAAACCTGATTTTCAAGTTGTCCACGTGGAACACTTAATATTGCATTCATGTATTTGCTCCCCCTGCAGCCTGAGCACTAGGAAATCTCACACTTGGTGGAAAACATTACCAGCTAGATTTCCTCTCCAATTTATTTGGAAAGTTCCATTACTTTACCATTAAAGAGTTCAACATTGAGGGCGGAGCTGGCGTTGCGGCGATACGGCGGGCAATCCTGGGCTCCCAGGATCGCAGCCGATATCTCCTCCCCCGGATGGTCCCGATGGACCTAAGCCGTCCCGTAGAGATGGCGATCGCAAAGGGCGCGTCCCGCGGA